TCTAGCAAATCGGTGGAAACGGGAAACGAACGTAACTGACTTCCTAACTCGAAACATTAAACAACTGTAAATTTCGAGCGGTAGGTTCGAAACCGGATATCCGGTGGTGGCCATTACCGTTTTTGCATATCCGTGCCGTTTGTAACCGGTGCAAGAAATATGCCCGTACCTTCCGCACGTTAAATTACAAATCCGGATATCCGCACTATTGCTTTTACCTCTATTGAATTAACTTGAAAATAAATTCCACACATGTAATATACAAACCAAATTGTTTTCACACCATTATATCGTTTGTAGAAAATAATACTACACTAATGTATCTATATATTTAGAAATATATATTAGTATCATAGATACGTTGTTTTTTATAGTGACTGTCTTTAACACAATACGTCAAAACTAAACCACTATTTTACTTATTACTAATAGAAATAAATAGAAATAATCTTTATTCAAATAAACTCATTACAAGCACTTTTGAATAGTCATATTTTGATTCTACCACTCATTCGGAATGCAGATTATTCACAAGAAGAACGAGCAAGAAACTTGTGTGTTGCTCTTTTAAATAAATATTGAATTACTTATATTTAATTAGCAACAAGGATTAGGCATGCGACAATCAACATAGAAACCGCTACGCACTTAATCTCTGTTCACTCACAATAGACACTCCAATTTTATTTATATGTATAGATGTATAGATTTGAATATAATCTTTACACTCCATTAAGTTTATATGTATGATATAAATAAACACCGCTATGTTTTCAGTTTAAAATATATCTTCTGTTTTGCCTACGCTTCCGCCATGAGACAGTTAATTTATGACCTCCCACTTTAAAGTAGGGTAACTAAGTTGCGGTCAGTACAAGTTGTGTTTTGTTTGCGACCACTACTTGACTTGAAGATACTAACTTATAAGTAATTTACGCTTGTTTCTAAGTTACTGCTAGTGTAGTTAACTATAGCTGTAATTATAATGTTAGCTTCAATACATACAGAACACTCAGTTGACTAATTTGTTACTTACATTTCAAATTTAGAAACATAGTAAATCACGTGATGATCGTGACGTCACTATCATGCCGCCACCAATAGACGCAAAGAGTAAGGGAAGAAGGAGTGGTTATATTATGTTTATTTGAATAAAGGTTATTTCTATTTCTCTATTTGTGTTTTGTAATATTGAAATAACCGTTTTTACTACATGCATATGAATATAAATACGGTACATACACCAAATAAAAACTTTTTACAATTTTTGTCAGTTTTTGTAGTGGTTTGAAAATTTTTGATTATCTTCTAAATGAACAAAACGGTTTTTAATTATCCATTGTTGTCGTAATATATATGTAAATTTGTCTTTTATTTTATTGGCGTATATTTGTAGACCTATTTACCTATGTTAGGTAAAATTAATCTTATTGCATGATTATATTTGACCCAAAAAATTAGTGCTTGTTGGTAGTTTGTATTCACACGTTTCGACTTGTAAATGTAAACTTACAAGGATTATTTAAAAGAGCAACACACAAGTTTCTTGCTCGTTCTTCTTGTGATGAGACAGCTTTCCGAACGAGTGGTAGATAAAAAACAAATTGTTATGACTATTCAAAAGTGCTTAAATTAAGTTTATTTGAATAAATGATTTTCTATTCTATTCTATTCTATTCTAATTATAGATTAGTCCTTTCCCACCACTGCCCATCAACCGCTTTCTGTTCTTACCCAATGGCTAGCTGGTAGAGTATGACATTAAGTTCGCCAAATTGTGCATTTTTAAGTGCAATAAAGAATAAATAAACAAAGAGTATTGTAAACTGATATTTACAAGTAATAAATCAAATCTACAATGGCCCTCTCCGTCATTAACTGTACAAATAAATATAGAACCACGATCAATAAAATACAGACAAGCATCAGATAATGGCGAACAAAACGACGAGCAATTTAAATAAAATAATATTCATATTCCTCTGTGCCCTTTTTGTGTGCGTAACCCAATAAAAATACGAAATTTTCTTCAAAAGATAAATCCCTTTTATTGTACCTTGCATGTAGGTTTCGCTTAGTAGATACGATTGCGTTTTTCATAAAATGAATCCAATTACATTCAGACAGATCTCTAATAGGATATGTTAGATGTGTGAATTATATTAGGTTGTATAATCATGTCTATTGTTAGCGGTATAATTATAGGGGCTTTATTTATATGCCAGTTTTGTTGTAATTGTATATAATTATTTTATTATAATAAAAGTTATTTACAGACAGATAAAGTAATGAAAACAGTGTAAACAAAATTGTGATCAGAAGTACAATAGTTTAGGAGAATGTCTGCAGAAGAAGCCATTTTGTAGTTAGTACTTCCCGCGCAACGCAACGCACCACAGATACATAATATGCAAGACATAATATGGTCTTATTACAAAAAATCTGTTAAAACTCGGACGAAACGTGGTCTAAATGGTCGTAGTTTAAACCATTCCTAAAGTTAATACTTGGAATAAACCTAACATTATTACTATTATCCAGATCTAACAGAGGACTACTTAATACTACAGTTAAATCGTTCATTATGTATTCCATACAGAAATCAGTCACTCATGTCTGTTAATTACGTTCCGTTTTACCAGAAAACTGAAAAGATAAAAAATAATATTACTTCAAATAAAAATGTATAAACTAAAAATAAATTTATTTCTATTTATCTATGTCTTTATTATAACTATTTCATTAATATATAATATTCGTTAATGTACTATTAGGCTGAAAATCAGTTTTAAATTACAAGTAGGAGTCCTATACGGAGAAAAGGAACGGCGGGATATTTTTATTGGATCGATTCGAATGGTGACTATTTCAAAGTCAAATGAGTGAAAAAATAACAAATAACGTCTTTTATATATTTTTATTATCGTAAAATTAGCTTTAAATATTTTTAGTTAATATATTTTTAATTTAGTCAAAATATTTTTCGAAAAACAACAACTTACAATACAATTTTTAAAATGGAGTTTGACTTTTTACATTTAGACCACTGTAAAACTAGGGGCATCGCAGGTCTAACTTTAGACCATAGACGAATCACGATTTAGAGATAAACTTCATTTTGTAATAAGGAATACATTGGTGAATGGTTTATTACTAGTGCTAAACCAGGTATATCTTTTTGTAATAAGGCCGATAATATGCAAGGCGCGCAGCCGCAGTAGGCGCATCATGGCAGTATGAGTATTAACATCTATCTATATATATATATATATATATATATATATATATATATATATATATATATAAATGAATTGCTGTTCGTTAGTCTCGCTAAAACTCGAGAACGGTTCAACCGATTCGGCTAATTTTAGTATTGAAATATTCATTGAAATCCAGGAAAGTTTTTTTTTTCTTGTCATCCGATAATGGAATGGTGCACCCGCCTGCGCTAATGGTTTACGCTGGTGGGGCACCAGTGGAGGATGATAAGATGAACATGAGGTCAGGTCAGTTAGCCCATTGTGACAAATTCAACAAGAATTTATTACGATTGTTTCCAGTGGGAACCGCGTGGAGGTCAACCTGACATGGTACATTGCTAGTAATGGGGTCATGGGTCCACATTACTAACAATCCCCTCCCCCCCCCCCCCCCCAGGGAAGTTTTAAACGTTGATTAAAGATGAAGAAATTGCTTAGAAAATAATAAAAACAAAATTTTTTTGATGTTCGTTAGTCTGTTTCGATTGAACCGTGCTCGAGTAAAACTCGAGCACGGTTCAATCGAATCAAATTCAATCGAATCGAATCAAAATCAAAGAATTCGGCTAATTTTAGTATTGAATTATTCGTGGAAGTCCAGAGAAGGTTAAAACGGTGATAAAATATGAAGAAATTGCTTAGAAAATAAAAAAAAACAACAATTATTTTTGTACTCTTACATATTACAAACGGTTCGTACCTGTCCTAAGGTTCATTCAGAAATGAATTGCCTAACAAAATTTCAAAAAACTATATCATATGTCATGGGGACATACTATTTAATTCTGAGGAGGAACGGAAACAATATTTTAAGGAAGCTGTTATATATGAATGTGGATATAGGCAGAGGAAGGCCGAAAAAGAGATGGATAGACTATGTGAAAGATGATATGCTGACAAAGGGAGTAAATAGGTTCAAAGCGTTCGTGGCCCTGGTCCCCACCAACATGCTGCCCACCTTCATGAAGGAGGACTACTGGCCGAAGGGGGTGGTCTATTGGCGCTACCGTGACAGATTGCCGTCGTCAGTGCCGTGACCATAGAGACAATTTTATTTACATATTTTATTATTATTTCTTATGTATGTTAGTCTATAAGGTATTTATAATATGGGCCATGTGGCCTGAATTAAATAAATAAATAACGAGATGACTGCGAACAGGGTTGAATGGAAGAGAAAACATATTACGGCAACCACAAATAAATGGGATAAGGAAGAAGGTGATGATGATATTAATAATAATAATAATAATTATTATTATTAAATTATTATTCATTTTACTTACTGTATTCAGCTTGAAAATAAACAGCTGTAATCTAAGCAAGTTAATCAATTACAATTTAATAAGAGGGATCGCTCCTAAGAATATCCATCGTAAAACATAAGTTTATTTCCATTTCTGTTTTCCAAAATTTAAAATAGAGTTAGCTTAAATCAGTAAATCGTTTTTTTAGCAATCGCCCCCGCTGTCTGTCTGTCCTTATATCTTTTAAATTACGCAACGGATTTTAATGCAGTTATCAGCAATAGACAGACTAATTCAAGAGAAAGGTTTATGTGTATAATATTTTGTTTCATAGTACAGAATAAACTGCGAAATTCAAATATTTGTAATTCACCCATGCACAGCCGGGAGTTATACATAAAAGCATATTAATTAATTGGTTAAGTAATAAAATAAAACTCATAAGAAAGTTTTAAGCAATAAATAAATAATTTAATTATACTAATTAGTGCTACTATTGGTTTTTATTAAGCAACCAATTTAAAGAGCCGCCGAGATCCGAAATGCCCGGTATACCTGGCTCTTGACTCGGGAAGGCCTCTTGTTCAGGAGGTCCATAACTGTAGCCCACTGTGTTATAATCTTGGGGTGCTCCGTAAACCGGTTGGGGTTTTGGTACCTTGCTCTTCAAGAAGAAATTAAGCAGTAAACCCACGATATAGAATGCTTTCTGGAAGAACGCCATGAAAATAAAGAAGGTGGCCACTTTGAGAGCTGCTACTTTTGAGAACACGAAGAGAAGGATCATGGCTGTAACAGAAAATATTTTTTTTTTATTAAACATCATTACATAGTATAAAACAAAGTCGCTGTCGCTGTCTGTCCCTATGTATGCTTAAATCTTTAATTACGCAACGGATTCTGAAGCGGTTTTTTTTAATACATAGAGTGATTCAAGAGGAAGATTTATATATATATAATACATGTATACCCGTGCGAAGCCGGAGTATAGCTAGTAATATTACATACGCGAAAGTTTGTTAGTATGGATGTTTAATACTTTTTCACGCAAAAACAACTGAACGGGTTTAGATGAAACTTTACAGTAATATAGCTTATGCATAAGAATAGCATATATGGTATAATTAGAAATAAACCCAAGCAGGTATCTTCTTAAATAAATGTATCTTTGTAAAAATGTTAAATTAATTATACTAGATAAGTAGCTACAGTAAAAATATATTTGTATACATCATATAAATCAATAGAAGTTACCTATACATATAAATAAAATTGGAGTGTCTGTTTGTAATATAGAAATAATCGTTTTTTACTACATGCATATGAATATGAGTACGGTACATACAAAAAAATAACATTTTTTACAATATTTGTCTGTCTGTCTGTTTGTTCCGGCTAATGTCTTAAATGGCTGGACCGATTTTGACGGGACATTTTTGGCAGATAGCTGATGTAATAAGGAGTAACTTAGGTTTACTTTTAATTTAGAAAAATTTCTTTAGTTTAGAAAAATAACGTTAAATTCCACGCGGACGAAGTCGCATGTACAGCTAGTCGTCTATTATAGATAACAGACTCTGTTTAGCATTTTGACTGCCGTACAGATAACAAATAATTTAGATCTATAACCACAGACATTTAGAAAGTGTGAGAGAAAACAAATAAAATAAAAATATTTAAATTTAAATTAGTTAGAGTAAATAGAAATATTTCTATTCAAAATTCAAGATATCTTTATTCATGTAGGTCTATTACAGACTCCTATGATATGTCAAATCTACCGTCAGTTCGGAATGATTCGAGACGAGAAGAACTGACAAGAAACTCAGCTTGTATTCTTTTTAAATAAATGTTATACATGTTTAATAATACAGACTCATTTTTTAATTAAAATTTGGGAGAATAGATGCTATTGCAAAAGCTAATAATCATCCATAAACATATATAACCATTTACCACTTTCTTTAAAAGAGATAAAAAATGATAAAATATTTATAAGAAATCTCAAGACATTATTGATTAAAAAATGTTATTATACAATTTTAGTAATTAAATATATACAATTTCAAATTATTAATTATTATTACTATTTTTTTATTATTATTATATATTATATAAAAAATAACTCGTCCTCCTCTCTTCTCTTCCGCTTGCTGTGCCCAACGGGGTCCATAATTAACCTACTTTGAAATGTACCTGTCTATCTATTTACTGTAAAATTATGGAATGCAAAGCTTAAATAAATAAATAAATAAATAATAGTCTATTCACAAGATAAGTCACGAGTATGACGGATTATACGAGTATGACGGATATATTGGTACCAGAATTGGTAGACTCACCCCACAGCCTTGCACTATTCTTTTTCTTCTTAGCCCTAGCTTCTGTAGCTTCCAAATTATTATTATCCAAACAATAACAAAACACAACCATCATGAACATTATTAAAACAACCTTCAACATTATAATATTAAAAATATAATTCCCGCGCTTTATGGTCACTTCTTTTTTTTATTTTTTTTTTTTTTATATTTAAGTTTCCGGGTTCGTCCCGTCCGAGTCAAGACCACGTTGTTAAATAAGATTTCATCTCGTAGGTACAGCATGTAAATTGTTAAATAGAAGAAAGTATCCTTTTGTTTTCAGTAGCTGAACGAATTCGTGTCGGCCTAAACATTTCTGTGACTAATGTATGTGTTAGGGAACAGTTATTGAGTCTTTTGTTGGGGCATCGCGTTCCACGCATTTCTACATTAAACTTAATGTGCACAAAAATTTCACCGTTTTTCTACAAAAACACTCATTTACATTTAAAACGTGTTGGCATATAGTGAGTACGCTAATAGAGAGAGTGAAAGCTTTAAGGGGACTGTGTACCCGCAATAAAATTACTACGTAAGAATTTTTAAGTAATAATAATAATTATTATTATTAATATAATAATAATAATAATAATAAACTTCCCTACAACCATACTATAAATACAATCCTGAAAGCGAACCTGAATTAGAGAACTCTACAGCTAAACTCTACTTTGATCGTGCTATTCTCACAGATCGAACCACACATTACAATAGGCCAGACATTACACTAATAAACAAAACCAACAAAACTGGATACCTGATTGATATCGCTGTCCCCAACACACACAACCTGCAAAATACGATATCCGAAAAAATAACAAAATATAAAGAATTACAAACAGAAATAACCCGACTCTGGAACTTACAAAAAGTAACAATAGTCCCAACTACAGGTGTCATACCGAAACACATGCATCAGTCACTAAATACCCTGAACTTGCCTCCTAATATATACTGCCAACTACAGAAGGCTGTAGTTCTAAATACATGCCGCATTGTTAGAAAGTTTCTACAGACAGATTAGGCCTACATTTGTATTATGGTATATCCACCTGAAATAGAACATTGTTACGTACTTGGCTTAGGCCCGTACATACCAAGATTACCGGCGAAAGTCGACAAAAAATAATATAAAAAAATAATAATAATAATAATAATGATCAGTCTATTACCCCATCAAATGGAGATATATAATATATATATAAAAAAAAAAAATTATCCCAACCAGTCTGGAACAACATCTCAGACGGTTGGGATTCCGGGGCGGCTCACTCCCGGGAAAGATGCAGAAAGCGGTGCTCTTAGATTCTGCCCGCATTGTACGCCGGTTTCTCTCCCTGGGGCCCTGAACCCCGGCCGACTGTGCTTCTGCCGGGGATATGTTGCCATCTCCTCTCCTTAACAGAGGAGATGAGATTTTTTTTTTGAAGTTTCCTAACTTAATAATAATAAACTCTTTATTGTGCACATAGAATACAATAAGAAAAACAGTAAATAAAAAAATTATTACAAATGGCGGTCTTATCACTATAGGCAATTTCTTACAGACAACCTGCTAACAAGCAATAGGACTAAGGTACATAGAAGAGGTAGATGGCACACATAAGCTACTATAATTATTAAAGGAATAAATAGACATACATGTATAGATATATATATAAATAAACTAATATACATACATATAGGAAGTTTTCAGAAATAAATAGGAAAAAAATGAGCTATAGAGACATAACGAGACCTTAGATGATTTTTAAATATTACATGAGATTGAGCGGATCGAATGGAGAGTGGTAGAGAGTTCCAGAGACGAATGGCTCGGACAGTGAAAGAGTTAATATAAAGTAATTATTCTATATTCTATCTCTATATAGAGACCTTATGTCACCCCTCATCTAACGCGATAGCAATACTTTCACTAGTAATTTTGTCATAAATATTTGCATTCCGCTAAATTCAGCTTACATTATTACTAGAGCATATATAACGGTATTTTTTTGTATATTCTGAAAATTTTATACTTTCAATTATTTTCAAATTTTTATACTCTACGATCGGACCCGCGCATCTTCATCTGTTAATGCAGATGAATAATAACAGTGATACTGTTACTTGACATTTATTATACAAGCTTTTGCCCGCGGCTTCGCTCACATAGTAGTAAATATTATGATTAATTAGGTGTAGTTTTTGCAGCTTTACTTTTGTTTAGCGCGTGTAAAAAATTAGGACCTACAAAATCTATGAATATTTATACAAACTTTCATCCCCTATTTTATCCTCTTAGGGGTGGAATGTATCAAAATCCTTTCTAGCGGATGCCTACGTTATAACATCTACCTGCATGCCAAATTTCAGCCCGATCCGTCCAGTGGTTCGAGCTGTGCGTTGATAGATCACTATATCAGTCACCTTTGAGTTATATATATTTAGATTTCATCCAATTCTTATAATATCTTTTTAAGTGTTATTCTAAGGTATAAGCTATATTAGTGTAAAGTTTCATCAAAATCTGTTTAATAGTTTTTGTGTATAAGAGTAAAAATAACCATCCATCTATGCATCAATACTCACACACTTACGCGTTTAATATTAGTAAAATTATAATGTTCATATGTATAAGCTAAAGATAGCAAAATTTGTTGCAAATTTCGTGAATGAGCTAAAGATTTTTTTTTAAGACTATTTTCTTCTGATTCTTCTGTTTCTCACTAGTGTGAAACATTGATATTATTTCATCGAATTTAGTCAGTTATTGTAAAAAAATTTCATTGCAGGACGTGTTTTTTTTTTGTGTATCATTGTAAGGAGATAGACCTGGGACACGCAGCCTTAAGGTTTTAAGGATGATTTTATTAACATTACTTGTCGACGAAATAAATTAGGATTGATACCGTAATTCCTTTGAGATTAGGATCAGACGAAATATTTGAATCGGACCCCAGCCAAAGGAGCCCATCTTAATGGATTAAATAAAAAAATGTAATACGCTTTATGTTCGTGAAATAGACGTAAAAGTATTTTGTTAAGTGTTTACATTTTTCAAATGTATCTTTTTACATAATGGTAAACAGATATAAATTGTTTATTTCATGATTACATTTATTTGATCTTGACGGCCTCGGTGGTCTAACGGTTTAGCACACCGCTTTACTTCCGATGGTCGCGGGTTCGGATGGCGGGGTCAGGGATTTTATAAGCGGCTAAAATAATAATAATAATCATCTCAGGACAATTCACACAGCGCCATCTAGACCCAAGTTAAGCTAGCTAAAGCTTGTGTTATGGGTACTAGATAACTAATACAAATACATAGATTTTTTTGTAAATAGAAAATACCCAGACCGATACAAACAATCATACTCATGAATACAAATGTTTGTGCCGTGCGAGGAATCGAACCCGCGACCATCGGACGTAAAGCGGTGTGCTAAACTGCCAGACCACCGAGTTCGAAAAATTCCTACAAGACTAAACGATTTCTGAATTTGAATTTGAATTTATTTGAAAGTCCCTAATACTGCACGTTTAAATAACTTCGAATTGTAATAAGGTGTGAGATATAGCTGAGAATATTTCTCACCCCGCAATAGAATGCAAACGGTGTCGCGACTCCACTCTAGAGATTTTCACTTAGTTATAATTTAGTTCAACGTGCGCTGGTTCCTTACCCGTTTATATCTCGTAACACTCCTGCTTCTATATGAGAATTCTTGAAATAATCCATTTAATACACTTTTTATATACTGAATTCTAAAACTGATTAAAAACTGTGAATTTCATTATAGTTATTCATTTTTTAAAGTTAGTATTACATAGTATAAAATAAAGTCGCTGTCTGTCAGTCCGTATGTATGCTTAAATCTTTAAAACTACGCAACGAATTTTGAAGCGATTTTTTTAATGGATAGAGAGATTCAAGAGGAAGGTTTATATCTATAATACATGTACACCCGTGGGAAGCCGGGGCGATTAGCTAGTATTATATATACCTAAGATAATATATTGCGTAAATATATACAAATATATGAACTTAAATATATACCAAATAGTCTGACAGTCACAGAACTAAAAAGAGTGTGATAGAAACAAAAATGGAAACAAAAGGGTACTGAGAGAAGAGAAAAAGTTAGAAATTCAGATAATATGCCCGTAATTTGCTTATGAGTGTGTTATTTAGTGTGAGTTTGTATTTAACGCGTAACTTAGTCTGCATCACACTTGTTTGACATTTAACATTATATGTCGCTCCATTCACATAATATATTTTAAACTATAGCTTATGTATTATTCTGTATAATAATAATAATATAATAATCTCAAGTCAATTCACACAGCGCCATCTAGACCCAAGTTAAGCTAGCTAAAGCTTGTGTTATGGGTACTAGATAACTGATACATAGATTTTTTTTTGTAAATACATACATATTATACATAGAAAACACCCAGACCGATACAAACAATCATATTCATGAATACAAATGTTTGTGCCGTGCGAGGAATCGAACCCGCGACAATCGGTCGTAAAGCGGTGTGCTAGACCGCTAGACCACCGAGGTCGTCAAGCTATATTACTATAAAGTTTCATAAAATCCATTCAGTTTTTGCGTGAAAGAGTAACAAGCATCCATTCATACTCGCAAACTGTCGTCTTTATTATATTAATAAGATAACATAATTATCTTTATTCATCCTTACTAATACAGGGATCTAGGCCCCGAATATGATTTTGTCCCATTTGGTGTCGAGACCCTTGGTCCGTGGGGTCCTAGCGCTATAAAGCGAAAAGGTTAGACGACCGCAGAAGACCGAAGAGCTGGCAGCCACCTCGGACAAAGTATTAGTCTAGCCATTCAGAGGGGGAACGCTGCCAGTATCTTCGGAACCTTGCTTAAAGGGACACTAATACATTTTAGTTATTATATTATATTTTTTAAGGTTTTTAATTTTAGGTTCTATAATTGTTATGTATATATAGTATGACAATGTAAATTGTAACATACATTGTTACATTATATATATACTTACTAATATAAAAATGCAAAAGTAACTCTGTCTGTCTATCTCGCCTTCACACATAACTACTAAATTATTTGAATGTAA